TAAGGGTTCCCCAGTCTTCTTCCCCTCCTCCTCTTCATTCATTATACACCAATAATATCCTTTTTACACAGTTCCTGCCAGGTCTAGTGCCAGATGGCTCTGGTTCTGAGTTTGTGTCCCGTCTTGGGAACAGCTGCCATTGTCAGTGCAAAGAAGGTGTCATGGCTTTGAACCCAAAGCTGGGACCCAAACTTGAAGCTCTATGTGGGGCGGAGCTATAGCAGTAATGCAAGAAGCCATGAAAACAGCACACACTTCCACTCACTGCTGTTAAGCAAAAGCCCTTCACTTTCAGTAAAGGCTCTTTTGCATTTTTTCCAATCAACCATGTATAGAAATCTCATGCAAACTTAATTCCATCACCACCTGACTCCGCTTCCCAGCCATGAGGTTCCTCTTTGTATCATAAACTCAATTAGACATATGCATTTCACTTCATGGAAACAGATGTTGAAACAAAGTGTATTTTATTTCTCTCTCCCTTTCTCCCCCTAGATCTAGACACATACAGACACTCTCTAAAATGATAACAATAGGAAATATAGTAAATGAGAGAGCCCCCCCAAAGAAGGACAAAGGGGCTTAAGTGTCCATGTCTGAGCAGTAGATCTGAATTTCTGATTGCTCTCAGTTAGGCAGTTACACCTTTGAAGTCAGTGGAGTTACTCTGGGTTTATAATGATGCTATGGAGAGCAGAACTGGGTCCTCTGTCTCAGTCTGTTTAAAAGTAGTTTTGAGAGTTTCTTTGTACATGATTTTGTTTACATACCCAGCATGGCAGTTATCCAGCACTGTCTTTGGATGCTAAGGAATTTTAAAGCCATGTTATTTGGCAACAAATGAAAGAAGTGAGTATTAATTTCTCAGTGTACTGGTAGAAACACAGGAACATAAGGACAGGGACTGACACCAGGCTATGTTACTATATGCCACACAGCGTGCAGCCGTTCCTTTTTTTAAAAAAATAGCGAAGATTCTCCCCCGGGCTTGACTTTTCTACATTTTGAGTCCATTTGGTTTTGGAGAGAGACACAAGAGGCTTCAGCTTTGAGCAGAGAGCTAAATTATGCAGCTGCAAGGCTGCCAGGCCCTCCAGAATAGGATGCTTCGTTTAGATTTTTCACAATGCTATTGAAGTGCTTATTTTCCTCCTGAAGAGACACAAACAGATGCAAACTTCTGTAAACACTTTAGAAATGAATTCAGTGAGTTTGGCCTCTCAGCAGTGCTCAATAGCTGACAGAAAAATGTCTAATTAGTGCAAGTGGAAATAATAGGGCCACTTGGATTCCTTCCATCCTCCTCCAAGTCTACTTTTCCTAGGAACTCAAAGGCCCTTTTGTTTGGCAGGTCACCCTCTCTCAGGCTTTTGTGCGCCAATCTATTAAGAGAAGAAGGGGAGAAAAAATAGATTAGGCAATGCTCTGTGCTTAAATATATGGTGTGTTCATGAGCATTTAGAATGGGTAGTTTGCAGGGTCAGTTTACAGGTGCTTAAAGAGAGGGATTCCTCCATTGTGAGCAGGCAGAAGTAGAGCATGTGCACGCAGGGAGTGGGGAATCCCTTTCAAGTGCCATCCTTTCAGCAAAGACCCTCTCTGGATCAGGAAAAAGTTAAACAAAAAAACAAAAACCAGAACAGCACCTTGAAGTGTGGAAAAGCTGGGAGATAGCAAATATGCTGCTATTGATTGGTTCCATTATCCTATCATATCCTATCCAAACCATCCCTGCCTTGCTTTCTTCATCGCCTGAGAGTTACATAGCAAGCTGTGAATTTAAAAACTGGACAGAGTGGTAAAATCCCCTCTGTGAGCCTGATCCTGATCTCAGTTGCATCAGTGTAAATCGAGGGTAACACTATTGATGTCATGGAGCTACCCTGGTGTAAAAACCCATATGAAAGGAAAATCCATCTCAGTGGCCCAGTTCTCAAAGGTAGTTAGGCGTCTAACTCTCGTGAGTTACATGTACACTTGCGGTGGCGTGTAGCAGACAGACACTGCACAGCCAGCTAGTGCAGATATAAAGATCCGTGTAGATGGGGAGAGAGAGCTTAGGCAAGTAGAGTGGCATGCCCTACAGGCAGGACCCCTAGGGTATATTCCCTACACAACTTTCTATAAGCCCAAGCAGTGCCTCTTATGTCAACAGTGCTGTTTTTAGCAGTGTCGTGGCCCACTGCCTCCCCACAGCCAGAGCCATGGTGAAAGGTTCCAGCAGTGAGGAAAGGCTCTGGCAGGTGGGCCTTTCCCTGCCTGGGCTTTTCTCGACGAGAGCCTTTTCCCCACTGGCTCCTCCCTGCCACAGCCTGTTCTTGCTGGGGAGCTGCTGGAGTTTTCGCTGCTTCTAGAGCCTTTCATTGTGGGGTATAGCTACGCACCACAGGGACAAGTGTCAATGCAGCCAGCCTTTCAGTGTGGCGGAGAGCTAAATGCGTGGTGCTTCTCCTTTATACACTGTTATAAGTGTAGACATAGCCATTGAGTTGGGTGCCTAAATACCTTTGAGGTTTTGGGCCAGTGTGCCTACGAGGAGAGCTAATGAGAGGGAAATGTTGTAAGCCGAGTACAAACATTGAGATAGCTGCCGAAATTTTTTTTTTTTTTTTTTTTAATTTTGCTCGTGATTCAGATAAAGTTCTCTCTTCAGTCACGCACTATCTGACAGGGCTTTGGGGACTGATTCTGCTCTCACTCACAGCACTTTTAACACCATTGATTTCAGTGGAGTTACTCCTGATTTACACTGGTGTGAGGGAGAGGAGAGTCAGGCCCTTTTTGGAATAGAGCTTGACATACTAGATTTTTCAAACACTCATGGCTCTGCACTTTTCACTGTATAGAGAGCTCTTTATATCCAAGCACCTCAAAGCACCTGACAAAGCTGGATAAGTAGCATTACGAGTCTCATTTTTACAAGGCGGGGTAATTGAGGGCTACAGGGAGGTTGTGGGCCAAAGACCTGGCTGGAAAGCATATTCTATGGCTGTGGAAGCACAGGAGGGACGGGTTCCCTGACTATACCATATTGTGAGAGTCTCCTCTTGCTTCCTGAAGTGACCTGCGCTCCCCCTTCTCCCCTCTGTGAAGACAACTCTTTTCACTTTTCTCTTACTTAAGACCGAGAGACCATGTGGCCCATGGGAATTCTATAGAATAGGATCCAGTTAAAAGACAGTTTGGACAAGAAGGAAGGGACAATAACTTCACACTCCTCTACATTCCTCCTACAACCGGTGCTCCCGGGGTGATTTTTTGAGATAGGAAAAGAGGCTCCTGCCATGGTGTAATGTACACATTTCAGTGAAATGATCATTGGATGCTACTCTCCCCATCACAAGACAGGCCCTCAAAGGATGTATGAAATTCCTAATTTGAGCTTGTGAAGCTCTTTTCCTCATTGCCCCATTGTGTGTGGCAGGGGACAATGACTGATCCCACAACTCCCCTGGAAAGGGCATGGTGTTTGGGCCCTAGCCTAGCAGATGTCCCAAGATCTGCATGGCTCTAGACACCCACAGAGTCTCTGTGCATCCACACTGCTACCCTGCTGGCCTCCCTTCCCCCTAACAGCATGCTCCTTCAGGAACTCTGCCTGATTCCTCATACCAGTAAGAAGGATCAGCCTCAGAGGGGACTCCAAGGGAGCTAATACTGCTTTAAAAATCATTAAAGGTGACCTGCAAAGATAAAAACATTGGACTTCTGCCCTGTTTGCTTCTTTGTGATGTATAAAGGAGTGTTTGATCTTGTAATCTTAATGTTGCATTAATGCCAGTTATTTATATTTAGGGCTGATCCCGCAAAGAGCTGATTTGCCTCCTGAGAGGCCATAATTTCCTACGGGACTTTTAGGGAAAAAAAAGAAAAGAAAATCTGCAGTTAACACTGACCGCTCCCATTTAAGCTAATGGGAACTCCAGCAGTTCAGCAACACTGAAAATTTGGATAGTATTTGGGTAGTATTTAAATATTTATGCATGTGTAAATAAGTGGCCTGATTTTCAGAGGCACTCAAGTTTGAGTTTTCATCTTCACTCTCTGTGCCTCAGTTTCCCAATTGCAAAATAGGACTAACAGTACTTACCCACCTATGTAAATTCCTTGAAGATTTATGGATAACAGCTGCTGCACAAACTAGATGCAGAGCTCTTGCAGCTCTCAGTGACATCAGATGGGAATTGAGGAGGTGCTCGGTACTTCTCCAGGTCAAGCAGTGTAAGAGCTAGACATTACCATTATGACTATGAATTGGTTTGTTGTTCATTTAAATTTACAAAGCACTTAACTACCATTCTAGGAGCAGTATAACAATTAAAAAGACAAAATAGGGACAAAATCCACATTACAAACCCATAAAACAAACTACCCAACCAGAAGTTTCCATGCTAAAAAACAAATCAGAAAATAGACAGAAGTAATATTTATAATGCTAATAAACTCTATTTAATCACTATCGCCCTTACCAAAAGCCCAGGAATAAAAGAATTGCAAGCAGATTGAGAAATGCATATAGTATTTCATCAACCAGCAGATATTTGTTTTTCCCAATGTCTATTTCTTCAATCTCTGTAAAATTGTATGACTGTCTGATAGCAAATAAGGAAGATTATTTGACTGAAAATCTGGTCTCGTGCATAGTGTTGTACAAGCAGCATCATTTGGCAAAGAGAAAAGGAGTACTTGTGGCACCTTAGAGACTAACCAATTTATTTGAGCATGAGCTTTCGTGAGCTACAGCTCACTTCATCGGATGCATCCAATGAAGTGAGCTGTAGCTCACAAAAGCTTATGCTCAAATAAATTGGTTAGTCTCTAAGGTGCCACAAGTACTCCTTTTCTTTTTTGAGGATACAGACTAACAATGCTGTTACTCTGAAACCTGTCATTTGGCAAAGAGTTATTAAGCCTGAGTATTTTCTGTAAACAGTTAACTGAACTTCTTTTACCTCTCCTGTTTGTGCCTGGCTGTCTCCTGTTTTTGGTGTTCTTTTCAGGTTTATTTGAAAGCCTCCATCATGGTCAAGGACTGTGCAACAGCAGCTGCTATCGTGTTCCTGATTGACCGATTCCTATATTGGGTGGATGCCTCCAGCAAACTTCTTCGGATTGCCAAAGGCCTGCACAAGTTGCAGCCAGCCACACCAATAGCCCCTCAGGTGGTTATTCGCCTAGCTCGCATCTCTGTAAATTCAGGTAACAAAACCCTTGTTAAGCACTCGCTCTCTCCCTCTCCATTTTCTCTGCTCAGTTCTAATTAGGAGCTACTTGACTTTCAAGAGGATACTTTGTCCTATTCTGGGGATGACATTCCTATGATCCCAGTGCCATCTTTTCAAACGTAGATCCCACCCCCCTGCATCCCTCCCACCTCCTCTTGCCAGCACAAAGGGCCTGGCATAAAGGGTTTCAGAGCCAAAAGCAGTAGAGAAAATTGTGAAAGGGTGTGGAAAATACTAATTGGAGCTTTTGTTCCTTCACAAATCTGGCCTGCTGGTTTCAAACAGAGGTATCTGAATTGCTGTACTTCTGACCGAGAGCCTTTAAAAAGTAGATTAGAACACCGGCATTTTCTCTGCACTGTCCCGGCCGTTTTTTCAGTAGGGCCACTTGACTACACAAACAATGCCGCTGACAGCCCCACTAATGTAAATTGGTGCTTCTTTTCATCATACTTGGAGCGTGGATGGTACCTGAACGGCTTTTAAAGTATCTTCCCTTATTTCAGGACCAAAGGTAAAAGGAGAAGCTGACTGAATCTACCCTGGTTTTAACAACTCAATTTAAATTACGTGATTTTTTTTTTGGTAAAATAATGACAATAGAAACTATAATTTACCTTTCAGAACCATTCTTGTTTCTATCCGTGTGTTTCGAATGCTCCCATTGCTGTGGTGTCTAAGCACCAGAATATTCATACTTTCGGCTGGTGCTGCAAACATATAACTCTACTCACATGAGCAGTTCTGTTGATTTCGGTTGGACTGCTTGTGGAGCCAAAGCTGCCTCAATATGATAAGAGTGGTAAAACAAGGCCTCACAGCATCTCTCTCAGCATTCAAACCTGCCAGTGTGTGACACAGGCCATTGAAACGAGTGACGAATGGCTGAGATGTGGAACACCTGTGTTTTGTTAAATGCTGTGCTGTCATTGGCAGCTTTTACTGGTTTTTTCCCTGTAAAGTCTGTGTGTAGGATGTTTCCTTGCTGCATGAATTCAATACCCATGTTCTTAAATCTGGTATTGAGGAGGGGTAGTTGTCCCAGGTTGCTTAGAGGAGTCGTGGGTTTTAGGAAGCCCTGGGTTTGTTGGGGGATCGTGGGGAGAGGGATTTAGGCTGCCAGTACAATTCAGGCCAGGCCATGCATTTCCCCAGTTGAGCTTTCCTCACCTCCTTCCATCTCCCCTAAAATTAAATCTGTCCTATCACCCTACCTCTCTGTAGCTCACCAGAGCTGCTACCCCTGCTCCTCTCTAGTCCTCCCTTCTAAGGAGCAGAGGGGGAGCCCAGGGAGCTGGTGTGACAACTACACGAGAGAGAGAATGTAGAAGGGCGTGGAGCCGCTCAGCCTGCAAAGAGACCAGCAGCTCAGGGCCTGTTCCCCAATCCTCTTCTGTGGATGATGTAGCAGCCTAACCTCCTCACCCCTCCTCTGTCCAAAACCACATCTCTGTGCTTGTGATCAATCCCCAGGAGCAGCTCCCTATTCCCTGAAGAGGGGTAGAGGGGATCAGGGAACCATAGCTGCTGGAGGACAGTCTTCTCCTTTCCTCCACTATCTGCCACTGTTTCCTGTCCTTGGAGGACACCATCTCAGGGTGGGGGAAGATGCAGGGTGGGTGGCACAGTGGAGAGCTCAGCCCAAAGGGCTTGATTATGCCTGTTCAGAGCAGCCCTACATTATGGGAAGGGTGGAGCACCACAGGCAAGCTGAGGCCTTTTAACGAGTTCAGCATACTATCCTCATTATGACCAGCCGAGTGGCCCATGAGGAGATCACAGCCATGGCACCCGCCTACTCCCTGCCCTCCTTTAGGTGCTGACCCCCTGTAGGGAGCATCTCAGAAGCAGCTCTGTGTAAGGTGCATTTCTCCCTCCCCACAGCTGGGTGGTTGTGCAGGGGCCAGACCTACATGATTGTAAGTAATACTGTAATATCTAGGTACTGGAAGGAATGAAGCAAGGCCCATAACTCTGCTAGGGGTTGTTGTTTCTTTAACAAATATTTTTTTATTTATTACCTCAATTCTACAAACACGTTGTACTGAGCATATCACATGAATGCAATGGGACTATTCGCAGCAGTAGTTCTGCACTCTAGTGTTGGCAGGATGGAGCTGTAGAGCAGGAGTTCTCAAACTGTGGGTCGTAACCCCGTTTTAATGGGGTCGCCAGGGCTGGCGTTAGACTTGCTGGGATCCAGGATCAAAGCCTGAGCGTTTCAGCCCTGAGTGCTGGGGCTCAGGCTTCGGCTTCAGCCCTGGGTGGCAGGACTGAGGTTACAGGGCCCCCCGTCCAGGGCTGAAGCCCTTGGGCTTTGGCCCCACTGATTAGGGCAGTGGGGCTTGAGTGGGCTCAGGCTTTAGTCCTACCTTCTGGGGTTGTATAGTAATTTTTGTTATCAGAAGGGGGTCGTGGTGCAATGAAGTTTGAGAACCACTGCTGTAAAGTAATACATATTAACTCGGCATACAGGATTTTCTAAGTACAAAATAGTGCAAGTGTTCTAGCTATAAAGTATCCTACTTTATCATTTCTTCTGTGTTTCTGTACATGCAAAATTGCATGTGGCATTCAGTATACATACAGGTGTCCTTTATTTCCTGACCACTAGTTCATGTCTAGCTGTGAGTGTTTAACAGCAGTCCTAATTTCAGAAATGTACTTTTATACATTGTATAATTAAAAACCACTTAAACATGAACAGTGAATGCATCAGGAAGATGGAGACTAACTAGAATAGACAGAGTTTTATTCATGAATAGTTCAATCCCATCTAGATTACATAATGCATTTTTATGTTCATCTATCTTTTTGGGTTCTTTTTTCAGGAAAACTTTTAAAAGCTGAGTATATTCTAAGCAGCCTTATAAATGACAATGGAGCAACAGGTATGTCTAAGTCATCGTTTTTGGCAGTTTTATAATTCTTTTAGCTAATTGCACCACTCGCCACACTCACACAAACTTTAAATATTATCATTCACTGCGCAATCGTTATTAAACTCCTGATTTTGCAATGACTTACACCAGGCATAATGCTTCCTACCAATATTAGTCAGAATTCAGTTGTGCTGCTAACAGTAGTAGCCTGATAAGAAATAATACTGATAACTAATATGTGCCTGCAGGATCGGGTCTTAAATTGCGATGTTCTCTTGCAGCTTGATCATGCGTTCCTTGTGCACCAAAAACTCCCGCAAAAGCCCCTTTGTTGTTAGTATTTATTTCATTTTTAATTATTTTATTTTTAATGCCCAAAAATGTGGTAGGCAAATTACATATTTCCCTTCTCTCTGCTCTTTACCATGAGAGAGAGAGAGAGAGATGTGGACAATGAAGCTTACTCTTTTCAAACTTCCCTAATTCATTCAGGGCCCAAACTCTGCGAACCTTTACTTAGTTCGAGAAGTACCCTGCACCTTTGACTGTATCACTGGCACTCTGCCTGCTGATTTCTGTCCGATTCTAAACCTTTGGCCAGTTTCAAACAGTTGACTGATCTTTATTTATTTTCTTTTTTAACTCAGATTGTCAGAGAAATGTTTCTCTCTTTCCTCCCATTCGGGCTTTATGCACAAAATGAGGAATATTGTGTCCTGTGCCAATAATAATTGTTTCTTTATATAGTGACCACCAGAGCTAAAAAATTGGGATTTGTACCAATGGAAAAGAAAGAATTCCATCTTTCACAGCACTGGTTCTAGCCTTGGAAAGGTCTGAAATATTGGACTTAAAAGTCATAATATTTTTGTGCTATTTTAGAACACTGTTAGAATTTTTATAAATACTTCTTTGTTATCATTACTCTCTCTCCCTCAGAGGTCTATACAGTTGGAGTCAGAACTTGCTTTACGGGTGGAAGGATGTGCAGTATTGCCAACTCCAGGTGCTCAGTAATCACGAGTCAGGCCCCAAAAATCATGAGATTTTTTTTTTTAAATTATAAATTTTTGGTGCTTTTTCTTTGCCTTTTGGTTTCTGAGCCTTTATGATTCACTTGGGTCATGTTTTCAAGCTTTTCTCCACAACAATGAGGGCTAGAAACTTCCTTTTTTAAAATGAAAGATAAGTCTCTCAAACATCCACGTAAGTCCAGGAGCTGGGGTTGAAGAGACATACCAAATATCAGAAGACTTGTGATTAAGTCAGTGTGGGTTGACAGTTTTGAATATGAACAACATTGCCAGTTTTAAAAAAATTCAAACCTCTGAGATAAGGTTATTTGAATGCTGTTCAGCGAGAATAATTGTTTTATGTAACCATAATTTGTGATATTCATTCCTTAATTATTTTCAGTGATGTGTGTAAATGTATGTCTTGTTTTTAATTATGCCTGGCAAACTTACTTATAAGTTAATAAAGTTTTGGGTGTGAAAGTACAATATGTATGAAAGATGCCATATAACTATCAGACAAAAATAAGAATGTAGATGCCTAAACGTTATTTGATGAAATTATGAGCACTCTTGTTTTAAGATGCATGACATATTGATAAAAGAAAAGGAGTACTTGTGGCACCTTAGAGACTAACCAATTTATTTGAGCATAAGCTTTCGTGACCTACAGCTCACTTCATCGGATGCATTTCCACTGAATGCATCCGATGAAGTGAGCTGTAGCTCATGAAAGCTTATGCTCAAATAAATTGGTTAGTCTCTAAGGTGCCACAAGTACTCCTTTTCTTTTTGCGGATACAGACTAACACGGCTGTTACTCTGAAACCTGACATATTGATGTGTGATGAGAAAACATTTTTTGGCACAGGCTAAAAAAATGTGTTACGCTGCCATTTATACATTACCACAAATAATTAATTTAAGTAATCACTTCAGTTAATATTTGTGATATTTAAATATTATTTATTAATATTTAGCCACCCTTGCAAACCGCTCTGAAATCTTTAGTAGGATATTCCATAAAAGTGCCAAATATTATTATTATTATTTTATTTTATTATTAATATTATTGTATTGCTGTTGTTCTATGGTTTATCTAAAAATAATTGGTATGAAAGCTTTATACTGGTGTATATCTCTCTGAGTTCTTTTACTGTTCCATCACCTTTGTATCTCAGTACCTACAAGGTACCTAAAGCCCTAATTCAAAGCCCATTGAAGTCATTGGAAAGACGCCAGTTGATTTCATTGGGATTTGGATCAGATTTTAAGGGCTCAGGAACCACCAACAGCTGTCACACTCCAGTGAGTTTTTAAACTCTCGTTTCAGGCGTGTGGCTGTATGACAAGGAAAGTGATAGGATTCTTGTTCAGTCAGTCTGTATACAGATCAGAGGACAGATTCTGCAAAAGCTTGGTAAGATCACACTCTGCAGCCAGACACTTTTCCATGCAGTGATTTCACCATTTAAGCGTTAAACTAATTACCCGTGTTCACAACTTACTAAAAAGAAATTTCTGTGTTAAGTAAAGACTTGGCTTATCTAAAATTTCCCCCTGGTTTCCCTGATAGAGAAAGCCACAGAAAATTAGCTCTACTCACAACTGGCTTAGACAGAGAACACTTGCAGCTAGCAAGAGCCCATTTATCAAACAAATGTAATTTACAGATCGTCAGTCTGTTTGCTGAGACCACCAGAAGATATGCACTTGTAAATGCTGTTTCTTATGTTATTTTTAATATTCAAGCAATTCCCCCCTTTTCAACATTCTTTCCTGAATTGCCAGCCAGTAACTTACCCCCATAGAGCTGTCATGAAAATTCCCTGGGCAGACGCAAGAAGGCCCCAGGATGGTGGTTCAAAGAGCTGCTGTATGGAAGCTCTGCCCTTGGTAGGATGATAGCACAGCCAGCCTAATGCTATGCTGTGCCTTCCAAGTGAATTTGCATTTTCATGACTGCTAATCTAGGATCTTTCACAAGCATAAAACTTACATTTATGAACAAACCAAAGCAATATGAAATTAATAAATGTAATGTTGTAACTAAGCTGGAAAAGCGTGGTAGAATGGTTTTATACAGTCTTGAAATCTCCCAGCTCAGGTTAGGTGAAATAAACTCATCTGCTTTAAAGCAATATAGAGCTATGTTGTAACTTAAAGAAGCGGTCTGCTTATTGATCATTTCTCTGCTTTATTTCAGGAATGTGGTATGAGGCAGCGGAGCTGATTTGGGCTTCAATTGTAGGCTATTTCAAACTGCCTCAGCCAGATAAAAAGGTTAGTGTTTTTTTCACCCTGAATACTCTGACTAATTCCACGTTGATTCCAGAATCCATTGTGTTTCCCTCAGTCATATGTCCTGGGTTTATTCTTCCTGGATATAGTCAGTTTCAGTCACGTGGGGCAAATGTTCTAGCTGAACGTTACACTATACTTGATTTATTTTTACATGCATGTGCATGCGCTTATTTGTAACCAGCATGTCTTGAGCTTTGTTTTGCTTTCTGCAAAGGAATAAAATGATCATTTTCATTCATTAGCATCATCAGAAGTAAATGATCAAATGAGACGATGCAATGTAGTTCTCTGATGGAGTGACAGACTAGTACCAAGATGCATCCATTGTTATACTTTTAGGGAGGGGCCTTAACCATTTAATTGGAACCAAACTTTCCCGAGCTTCAGGAGTGTTCAAATTCTGAACCAGGGTCTGAATATCTATCTATCTATCTGGGTAGTTATACAGTCCCCATCATTGACGTATCTGAATGGCTTACAGTATATATTCATCTTCATAACCCCCCCCGTGAGGTAGAGAAATGCTGCTATTTCCATTTTACAGGTGGGGAACTGAGGCGGAGAAGGGGTAAGTGACTTGCACAGAGTCACAAAGGAAGTCTGTGGCAGAGCAGGGAATTGAAGCTTGGTCTACTCAGTCTTATGTTAGTGCCCTAACCATCATAGGTCCTACAGCCATCCTTCATATATTTTGTTATTAACTTTGCAAATAGCGCAGATCTTTATAACACTTCCATGCTTTAGAATGTTTGGAATCTGGATCTCAAGAATCAGTCCTGTTTTTATAATGGACCAAACCAAAACTCCAGATCCCAAACTCCCTAAACTTAGTTTGTTAAAACTCTGGACCAAAGTTTTGCATCTTGAACCTTTGAATCAGAATCAGAAATACTTATATGAAAGCAGAGGTGTGCAGGGCATTTTACAGATATTTAAGAAGGCAAAGAGGCATCATGTAATGGAATGATTTAGCTGTACTAACTGCAATCTTAAGGTAATCTGTTGGCTGGCATCTGTTTGGGAATAGTGAACAATTGTCCTGTTTTAGAAGGACACAAATGGCAAATTCACCTATCTTCATGACATTACAAATTCTTGTGGTTCACTGACCCCTATTCAAAATTGCTCATTCCAATCCCCAGAGTTAAATCGTCATTAACTGGAGCTCCTGCCTTTTTGTCAAAATCTGGGATTTTTTTAAGTGCTTCATAAAATAGTTCAGGGCAACATTAACTCTTCAGTATCTTGGTGCTCTATCAGCAGAACTGCATGTTGATTGCATTTGATATGGCGCTTGTCTAGACAATTTTTCCTTGTGCCTCGCAAATAGTTTGAGAAAAACTGATCAGTTCTAAATTATTGTTGTGCAGCTAAAGTTAGTAGAGTGTTAAAACTGAGCCTAAACAGATTAAGAACCTGTTTTCCAAAATCTGTTTAGTCAGGATTTAATGTAGCATTTAGTCTGAAGATATTCTTATGTCACATGATGCTGTGCCGTATTTGTCACACCTTGAAAGCTGACAGGCTGGAGAAAATAGGAAGGAAGAATGTAACAAAATTCCAATCCTCATTCAAATCCCTCCTATAATACAGAGCAAGTTCCCTAGTTGGTGTAAATGAATGCAGTTTAATTCAGTTTAGTAGAGCCATACAGACTTACACCAGCCTTCATTTTTTCCCCAATGCCCGCACATTTATAATAATCCAAAAAATATAATTTGGCTAATTTGTTTCCTGCTCTAGATTTCCCCATGTGTCCTCTCTTCTCTGTGTGTCTTGTAGATGTCTTTATCTTTGTGTCTTGTACAGCACCGTCAAAAATAGAAAATAAAATGGAAAAAACACTTGTTTGTTTGTTTTTTATTTTTCAGGGAATTGCTACATCACTGGGTATTTTGGCTGACATCTTTGTTTCCATGAGTGAGAAAGATTATAATAGTTTTAAAAACAACTCTCAAGTTGACCTGGTAAATATTCATATATTAGAAGTCTTTTGCTGATCCTTGTCTAGTTGCACCAACCGCAGCCAAACTTCCTACTCTTGTCCTTGCACTGAGTGCTTGGGGAAGCTCTACAACGCCAGCCAAAGAGTTCGTTATCTCACCTAAACACAAAGTGGGTGTCATTTCCCTCCAGGACAAATTGAAGGAACACTGTGTGAACATTGTTAAGACCAAAATTAGACACCTCTTAAAACTTCCAATGTGATGGGAAGGGTCTCCGGGACACAGGAATTGGTATTGATCAGACCATTAGTGTAGATAATCTAGTATCTTGCTCTGGCAATAGCCCAAGACTCATTAAAGAAAAAGCCTCTTATGGACACAAAACCTGAGAGGTGTTGAGCATCTGCAAAACCCAGTGGACTCAACTAATCAAATTCTAAGGACCGTGCTCTATCCTGACTGAGTCCTGATCTTCACTGAAATCAATGGCAATTTGCCTGAGTAATTATTATGTTTTAACTTCTTAAAGATCTCAGGATTCATCCCATAGGGAGTGGATCATGTTCAGTGCATCTCAGGATTTGTCCTATTATGAAGTCATTTATTTCACATAACTTGAGAGGAGAAATCAGTTTCCTTCTGAACTAGAAGTGCAATCTGAACATAGCATTGCATTGGAACAAACAGGGACTTTCATTTTCTTCCACAGTGTGTCAAGTCCTGTGGTCCTAAATCAGATCTTGCTCAGACAAAATTCCTGTTGAACTATGTTAATGTAAACAGTAAGGCTGCACAGTTAGTCAGAAGAAATCAGGATACCCAGAAGTTAAGGTTCACAAGGCAATTTAATTCATGTGCATTGGCTATATTTAGTATCTTCCTGTTTTCTGGTTAGATATATAGCTTAATTTCTGTTGGACATAAAATGACTACTACAAAATCCATGGCCAATTGAATGTAGTTATAGGAATCCTCAATTTACTGCTTTACCTGATTTTATTTGAATGAAGTTGTAGCATTTCATGACATCAGGCCAAATTATGACTCATGTTCTCAGCAGATGCAGCTGGGCTCTGCAGTCAGATCAGTCCCACTGATTTCAATGGAACTATACTGGATTACCTCAGTGTAACTGAGATCAGACTCTGCCCTTTTATTTCCAACTATTTCCCACCACATTACTATTACCCTCATTATACAGTCAAGTCTTTATGGGTATGCAATGCTACCAATGGAAGCCCAAGATTCAAACTCAGGCTCAAGCCTAACCCCGCTTCCATCCACACAAAAATCACTCTAACCTAGGGCTCAGACCCAGGACCCCAGGAGGGTGGAGGATCTGAGCCTGAGTCAAGCCACGACCCACAGTTCAAGCTCTATTGCTTTGCAATGTAGACACAGCCCCACTAGATCCGTGTTCTGGGAGTCCACCAAAAGTATTCCATGAGCTGACTTCCTTTGTCCTCTGGACCGTCAAGTTTTTCCACACTGTACCACGAATAAAGGGCTAGAGCGGCCACATTTTGGGAGGGTGCTAGGAAATCTGAGATATGGGTGGTTGGACTCAGGCCCGGATAATGTAGTGTAGATGCTCCAGGCCCAGGTTGGGACCCAGGGTTCAACAATTCCTAACCTAGGGTCATAGATGAGCGTAGAGACTCAAGCCCTATGTTAACAAATCCAGGCTCTGCTAACTCAAGATCTACTAACCCTGGACTTACATTGCAGTGTAGACATACCCTATAAGTGTTACTTGCCTTTGTCCACCACCACGAACATGACATTACAAAGATGACATAGTGTGTAAAGGAATTTTTATCCTGCTGTTTTAACAGCGCCTTCTCCAAGAGTTTGACCATCGCTTCCTGTCAGCTGCTGAAGCCTGCAAGCTGGCAGCTGCCTTCAGCCAGTACACCCCGCTTTTTGTGCTCACAGCAGTGGTGAGTATGATTTCAGTTCACATCTGGGACTTGGGCAGGATGCTGCACCCTTCCCAGAACTCCTATCTAAAACCACAGAGGAAGAAAGACAGGCGGAGAGAGAGATCCCCCAGAGTGATAGTGCTTTGCAAGTTAATACCTCACCCCCATGCAACTTTAAGCAAATTTAGAATAAAGCAGCATAATCAGATATATGAGACAATCCTTACCTCATTTCCTAGAAATGCAGAAACGAGCTGTAAGAGTTGGTATCTGTGCCTTGAAATGCATGAAGAAACAGCACTTTTTTCTTTTTATTTGGAACAGAATTCCAGATTTCTAATTCATTGACTTCTCATCCTTTTTCCTTTTCAGAACATCCGTGGCACATGCTTATTGTCCTATAGTTACTCCACACAATGTCCTCCAGAGAAGAGAAAGTTCTATTTGTCTGAAGCTAAGAAATCCTTTGAAATTGGTCTCCTCACCAAGAAAGAAAATGACCCTGTCACTAGCAGGCAGGAGCTTCATAGTTTCATTAAAGCAGCTTTTTGCCTTACAACAGTTAATCGGCAGCTCTACGGGCAAAGCGAGAGACTCTGTGTGGTGAGACAGCTATGTAGCGAAGCCATGGAGAAACTGTACGCTTACAGCACTTCACCTTTTACAGAAGATCAAGACAAAGAAACACTTGCCAAAGAGATCATGTCTTTGATCATGTCTGTCAAGGAGCATTTACAAGTACAAAGCTTCCCTAATTCAGATGCCAGATCTTATGTTCCTGATAGCTACAAAGGTGTAGTAGAAAAGCCTATCTTGCGTGGTGAAGTGAATTTTGAGAAAATCCTTGAAATGCATTCCCAGCATCATAGGTCAGTAAGTGAAGTGTTTGAAAGTACTTGCAGGAGCCAGGAAACCAGGCACAGAGAAGCCAAAATGGGAGCTTGCATCACTGTCTTAAAAACTGACACTAAAAATGTAGACACTATATGTAACACTGAAGAAAAATTATGCGGTGGCAAGGACATTGCCAAAATCTCTGCTTCACAAAACACAAGAAGAAGCCATGAGAGACTCCATGGGCAAACAAGAAGGAGATGGATTAGTTCTAATGCAATGAACGTCTCCCTTGTAGAAGAAATGGAGAGCAAGCCATTAGACAAAGTTACCAGTGATGAAAATGGCATTTTCAGCAGTTTGCAAAGCAGGAGTCAAACCACTAGGTCTTTGAAGTCTTGGAGCAAGTTGTCAAAATCAAGTTCCTCTGCTAGCTGGGAGGAGCTAGATTGCAACGCCAGCAATACGCTTCCCAGAGATTGGCAACAAAGGGGAAAGGGCTCAGTGGATGAGCAGTGTTGCACAGTCTCAACTGAATCTACTGAGGGAAATGTTCAAGGCGGGAGCCTGCACTCGTCCTTCCAAACTCATCATCTCTCTCTTCAGGAGTCACCAGGTGGCTGTTCAGATCCTTCTCAGCATTCATTAAAGAATAATATGCTCTTTGCTAATAGACTAGCAGATGTGTCCTCAGCTTCCAGAGAAGGGCTCTTGCAGGGGACAGAACCTGAAAGGGATGCCTCAAAACAGAACGCAGGGGATGCCAATAGTATAGACTTCAGGAACAATGCTATTTCTTTCGTGGACTTAAAGGGTTCCCATTTTTCTGGTCCCAACAGACCTGAGAGGGAGATGATTTCCTCTTCCTTGGTAGAATTAGAATCCTTTGAAATGATTGAGTCCAGAACCGAGGATAGCAATAGAGACTTCAGTGTTATTCACAGCCCTACTCAGCGCAGCAGAGTGGAAGGAAATGTAATAGATGATGAAGCGTATAAAAGAATCACAGAGCCATTATCTAGAAATAGTTATGTGTGGATTGACCCGGAAGGAGATACTGTAGACAGTACAGATGATCTGTCAGTTGAGCCTCATATACCTATAGGTAAGGTAGGTACTACTACATCTATAAGCAACAAGTCAAAAATAGCAAGTGATTCCTTTGTACGTGATTGGATTAATAAATCTTCTGCTGGAAATGGGTCTTTTGAAATGCCTGAAGTTGACACCCAGGCAGATACAGAAGATGAATGGGAGTTTGCTTTCAGCAATAGAGGGAGCTCAGTAAACAACACTCCTGCCATGAATGCTCCAAGGCCTCAACTTAACCACAGGGTTGGGATCAGAATTTCACCATCAGGGAGGAAGAAGCCAGAAGCTGACAATTTTCATGACTGTGCTACCACAGAGGAAGATGAAGCGGAAAAGTACAGGAATGTTCTGAACAGCAGCCACAGCTCAAGCTCCTCTCTGAAATCATGGTACAAATCAGCGCAGTTTTCCAGCAGTTTCTCTGAACTAGAGAGTCCATCTTTTCTGAACTCCAGTGGGAGCTCTTTTGTCTTTGTGCCTGGGAGAACCAAAGAACAAATCCTAAAAGCTCGCTTTCTAGAGGATGATGACTATGAGAAGCTCTTGTCAGGTGTAGAGCATCACTGGCTAGTGCAGAGACTGGAGTCTACTGGAATATTGAAGGCTAGGCAGCTCCATAAAGCATACTGTAAGTAACATCTCCCCTGTGTGTATATGTTATGTGCCATCGTAATCCCAAACCCAGTTATAAGAGGGTAAGAAGGGATTTTGAACTACATGCAGGCTGGCACTCCTACTATGTTGATGAACAAGGTATAAATCCCTCAAAGATAGATAGAAATCTAGAGTCTGATCTTGCAATTCTTATTCATATGTGTTTGTACATTGGCCCTCTAATTCAGAGGTTAGAGCACTGCCCCTGTAAACTGAGGGTCACATCTTTGATTCTCATTTTGACTTATGCCAATAATTTAGATGAGAGTAGAGTAGGGACTGGTCCTTTCTGGTCTTGAACATCTATGAAACTATGTCTGAGTAAAGGCTGCAGAATCAGGTCTGTACTTCTTACTAGGATTATATAGATCTCAAGAGTCTGGATATTTTTAGGCCCTCCTCATTTTTCAAAATATTTACATTTAAATGAAAGAAGAGCCAAGCCAGGGCAGCACAACATTTTGGCTTAGTTTACTGTTTTGCTTAATATCGTATCCAGTTTTTTCCTTTGATCCGTTAACCAAACCAAGTAAGACTGTACCTGCTGCCAGAATCTCTCAATTATTTTTAATTTGTCTTAAGGTCCTTGTGAGTTTTATATTTTGTTCATTTCAATAAAACTCTGTTCTCAATCTGTGAGTCTAGGAGCTCTGTCTGCTAGCTCACAAAGTTAATAAACAACTGAAGCGAAGCACTAGCTTAAAGTCTGGCTCTAATCCGAAGAGGGTAAGTTTTGATTAAACATTTTGATTGATCTGATCTGAAAAAAAAAATCAGAAGTTCAGTTTGTGAATATTGAGATTTCAATTTGTGATGGGAAAATTATTTGAAATCTTGAAAATTCTTGTAGAATCATTTCCTGCCCAGCTCTAAGTGCCATGGTCTATCTAGTACAGTATCCACTCTCTGACAGTGCCAGCACCAGATGCTTCAGGGGAAGGTATACGAGCCCTGCAGTGGGCAAATGTGAGAGAATCTACTTCCACATGAAGGTCTCCTCCAATCCAGGGGTGGGCAAACTTTTTGGCTCAAGGGCCACATCTGGGTATGGAAATTGTATGGCGAGCCATGAATGCTTACAAAATTGGGGGTTGCGGTGCTGGAGTGGGTGAGGGCTCTGGCTGGGGGTGCAGGCTCTGGGGTGGGGCTGGGGATGAGGAGTTGGGAGTGCAGGAGGGTGCTCCAGGCTGGAACCAAGGGGTTTGGTGGGCGGGAGGGCAATCAGGGCTGGGGTAGGGGGTTGGGGCATGGAGGGGATCAGGGGCAGGCTCCGGGTAGCACTTACCTCACGCAGCTCCCAGAAACAATGGCACATCCCCTTCTCCGGCTTCTATGCAGAAGCGCGGCCAGGCGGCTCTGCGTGCAGCCCTGTGTGCAGGCACTGCCCCTGTAGCTCCCACTGGCTTTCAGTTCCTGGCAGCTCCTGGCCAATGGGAGCTGCAGGGGTGCGCTTGGGGTGGGGGCAGCATGCAGAGCCCCCTGGCTGCCCCTACATGTAGGAGCCGGAGGGGGGATGTGCCGCTGGTTCCGGGAACCAGGCGGAGTGGGGCAAAACCCCGACCCCACTCCCCAGCTGGAGCACCAGAGCAGGTCAAGCCCCAGACCCCGCTTCCCGGTGGGAGCTCGAGCGCCGGATGTGGCCCCTGGGCTGTAGTTTTCCCACCTCTGTCCTAATCCTAGCAGTACATTGGTTTTAACCGTGAAGGTTTTATATTCCTTCCAAATTTGTGTTAGCATTAACTAGTATAAGTCTAGATATTCTTATCAGTATAACTGTCCAGTGCCACACAATTTGGTGGTATTCAGGCTTATATATGAGCGAGAGGCTTATGACTGGCTCATAGCAGGGGCATTACAGAGCAGGAGTGAAATGCATTTCATTCTTCCTGTAGATATTTTGTGTTCTCTACTTGCTAATAGTTTTTCTTCTGGACTCCCTAATCATTTAAACTTTTATTAGTGTACAAGACGGGGGCAGGAAACCGCAAAGCAGCCCTACAGTGTGTCCTGCCAAAGCAACACATTTTGCCTAACTATCTTATATATTTCCACTTACGGATGCGCTTCTACAAAAGATGCTGTTTCAATACTGCCCTGTAATAGTTGAGTGTGACAGGGTAGCAGAGCTTTGTAACTTTGTCTGGGCATGGACATCAATCCCAACGAAAAAAACTGATAGCTCTTAGGTTTCATCCTTGGTTACTGGTATAGAACAACATTGCTAAAGAAGCTGTCAGTTTCATGTGTGGGGGTTTTCTTTTGGTAGCTGCTCTTCTTCTGAAATACTCCAAGAAATCTGGGCTGTGGACAGGCCAGGAAACAGCTGTGTATATTGGAGACTACCTGAGCGTGGCGAAGGAAGGCAAACAAAGGACTGCATTTTGGATACACTTTCTGCATCAAGAAGAAACTTTGGGAAGGTATTGATCAAGCACAAATTGCTGAAGTGAAATTTTAATCAGGGCTAATTCTGCACACATAGGAACATGGCAATTGCCATACTGGATCAGACCCAAGGTCCAGCTAGTCCAGTGTCCTGTCTCTGACAGTGGTCAGTACCGGGTGCTTCAGAAAAAGGTGCAAGAAACCCCAATGTTATAGGGGAATTATGGAATAACCTGTTCCCAGGGCAAGTATTTCTTCCTAATCTCCATTTGTTAAGAGCTGTTAATATCCTGAAGCAAAAGGGTTTTATAGCCCTTCCAAAGCTCCTGGCTATTTGATTGATCCTCACTGTTATAGCTCTGGATATTCTTGTTACCCAGTTTGATTCTGAAGTTGCAGCTTTCCATTGGGACAGGTATTTAAAAAGAACCAATTGCTTCATTATTGTTTTCTATGTTATCTGACACTGTGTTACATTTACTGTCCATTTTCCTGTTATGCCCTTGGGCTTGTCTACATAAAAACTTGTGCAGAAGTAAGTGAATGGATTTTATTTCACACCTTTTGTTGTTTCAGATTCTCTCATTTTGCATTCCTATTTCCGATTTAAATATAATCCAGATACAACACTCGTAATCTGAAATGAGAGTTATTCACACACAGACTTGCATAAAATAGGAAAATAGTCAAATTAAAACCAATTTAGTGATTTCAGTGCAAGCTTGTATGTAAACAAGGCACACAGTAGAGTGCAGGCTTGTTGTGTTTTAATATAAATATGAGTAGAGGTTGCTCATGGGCACAAGATTAATTGCCAAGTCTTGTCCTCTGCCTCGAGTTGAGGTCTTTAGGTCTTGCTGTGCTCAGTGCTGTAACGCCCAAGTCTGATTTTTTTTCAAAAATGATTTAGACACTTGGGAGCCTAAATCCCATTTACAGTCAGAGATTTTGGCTCCCAAGTGTCTAAATCACTTTTGAAAGTAAGATTTAGGCTCCTAAATCGGTTAGGCATTGCAATGCTGAGCGCAGCAACACCTAAATGGCTTTAAAAATCTGAGCCTAGCTGTCTTGTTCTCAAGAGGATAAGGAGAGAGCTGGGCGGGTCGGAGCATGGCATATCTGAGAGATGGATAACATTTTATTCTGTGCCGTGGCTTTGTGAAATGGACACCCCTGCCCTAAGAACTGGAATAAGTCTACCAGCTCACTTCACCAAGGCCACAGCACCTAGAGGCATTGCTTGCTGCTTGGCAGAGGGAAATGTGGATTTTGGATCATGAGTAAATGTGGTATATGGGTTATTAGGGAGTGTGGTGGTATTTTCAAAGATGCCTATGCTCCAGTGGAAGTCAGCTAGAGTTAGATGCCAAATTCATTTACACGCTTTTGAAATTCTCACCCTAAGACTAAGATCTTTCAGAGCTAACTTCTGTTGCTCCATCAAGAGGTACAAGACCAGATTTCAGTTGTTGTCATTTTAAATAAGTTACCAATAAATAGCTTTGCTCTTGAACAACAAAGTGGATTTGTGGTGATGATTTGCATCCCAATGAGGATTTTGCTTATTGCTATCTGCCTGAGGAATTGGCTATGCTGTGTGTCTGTTTTTCCCATGTAGGTATGTTGGGAAAGAGTATAAAGAAGAAAAGGGGCTTCTTAATCATTTCATTGATGTAGAGCGACAAATGACTGCCCAGTACTACGTGACAGAATTCAACAAAAGGCTGTATGAGCAAAAGATCCCAACACAGATCTTTTACATCCCCTCTGCAGTACTCCTGGTAAGAAATCCTGAACTGAAATCAACTGAAGCAGGGAACTTACAGAAGCCAGCAGGAAATGATCAGAGAATGTTTCTCCTGTAGAACAGTGGGTAGAGAGAAAGGTATAAAATTAGGAAAGTTACAAGATCTCTGCAGAACAATAATTATTATAAGCCACTTGTGTCCCATACACAGTGGATATGTAAACACAGCATTTTGGAGCAAATGGAAGTGAGCCTCCTGGCTAAGGGTAGACCGCCGCTTCGTAGGCTTCAGAGTCTGAGCTCAAGCCGTAACTTCAAAGCACTGTCTAAACAGCTGTTTTTAGAACAGTTGTATGATCCTCGCTAGGCCAAGTCTGTCGACCCAGAGAGGCTCGCTCGTTCACACTCCGAAACGCTGGGTAGAGGTCCCCTAAGAGGCAAATGCCATTACCTGGTAAACAAGTTTGATTATTTAAAGATGAAAAAACATCTAACATACAAGCACAGATTCTCACTAAAGGGTGCAATGGATGCACCTGTAAAAGTATGTATGTCCTGCCGGGCCACCAAACCCATACCTTTACGTGTGTAACTTGGGCAGGGAAGGGTTCAGTTAACCAGCTGGTAGGTGTAGTTGCCCAACTTGTGTTAGCACCTAACCAGTTTGTGCACAGAAATATGAGGGCTCATGTTTGCCTGCAGGTGCACGTACTATTTTAGTAGCTGCACCTTTAGTATGCTTCTTTAAAATTTAGCCTATACTTCTAATGGTGCTCTCGGAACTACCAGAATTTGGGTAAAATTCTGCTCCATTTATTCACTTAAATTGGCTCATTGATTTAAGTGGGACTGCTCAGCACTGGTGCCAGAATGGGGGGCAGGGAGCCGTGGCTCTCCCCACTTATAAAAGGACCATGCCCCCCACTTTTTAACAAAGGAAACATGTGCTGAGGGGAAAAAATGCAGTCCCCATGTTTAGAACTAAAGTTGCCTGTTTGTTTGTACTATAATTAAATATTATAATGTGGCTACATTTTGTATTGTGGTTATTTATGTTACAGTTGTATTCTGCAGGTTATTTAAATAGTATTTTAATTCCTCTGCCACTTTGTCCTTGGCCCACCCGCTTCGATGAAGGTTCCAGTGGCCTTGCTACTCAGATGAGCCAGGCAAGAAGGGTGTGGCCCTGAGATTGTCAATTCCTTGAGACAGGAACTTGTTTTTTCATTTGATCATTAAAATAATCATAAATAATAATTACTAATCGTAACAATGTTGCTGGAAATAACGGTTACAATAATGTGGGCCAGATCCTCAGGTCCAGTCAGTCCCCATTCAGTGCAGCCTGAGGGTTACCCTAATTTGCATTGATTTGTAATGGCACCCAAGGAGCAGATGGGGATCACCAGGTTGCATTACATCCAGACTTGCCCCCAAGACACTGTCCTTACCGAGAGGGATGGGAGGGGATGGCCTAGAGTCAACATAGCTGGCCATAAGCCATGTGGGGAGTCCTCCGTTCCAGGGAAATCTGCAGCTACCCTGAGACAGTGGCTTTCTGGCCCTCTTGCATCACCTGAATGGTGCACCGGGTCCAGAGCATTAGCCAACATCTATCCCTCTATTTTTTATAAATCTAGTTTACATATTTAACTACATTCTATTAGATTCCTGCATTTCAAATACAAATAGCCAAGTAGACTATTATACACAGTATCTATGTCCTCTATGTCTTTGTCCCTGCATGTGTGGAATATAATTTACTGCTCTGTTGTTCACGTATATGCTATAATGCAATATGCAAATGACCTTGGATCAAAGAGCTTTGCTTTACTGCTTTTGCTAAGTATGCTGTCATTGGTGCTGCTTTACACTGGAGCACTGGTTAGCAAGGCCTAATGCAGTTTTAGCATGAATACATTCAAGCGCTTGAATATGTAGACATAACTACGTCCGCCAACCACAGACCATGTAAAAGATGAACGGCTGCTGGTTGTTGGTCTGCCATCTTCTCATCTCCTTCTCCCACTTTTTATACTGACTTTCTTGCAATATATTTTTCATTTGCTTTACAAGGAAGATACCGATAGAACTTGTTGATCCCCGTGTCTAGTCTCACCAGGCTGAATTAACGTTTCCAGAGCTGATACTTTCTTCTCTCTCGCTAGATGTGAGCTCTGCTTCCAGATGTGTTGTGATGGGACCAAACAAATGGATGGCACAGTGTGGGGGCTCTTTACATCCTTTTAGTGCAGTGGAAAAAAGTAATAGTGCAAATAAGAATTCAGATAGCTGAGCTATAGGACTTCTCACTGTTTTCATCTCTACTAGGATTATTTTAACCTGTTAACATTCTGTTTTCTTTCAGATATTAGAAGGCAAATCTATAAAAAGATGTGTGAGTGTGGAGCCCTATATTCTGGGAGAATTTGTGAAACTATCTAATAACACAAAAGTAGTAAAAACAGAGTACAAAGCCACAGAGTATGGCTTGGCCTTTGGCCATTTCTCCCATGAGTTTTCCCATGGCACAGATGTGGTTGTCGATTTGCAAGGTTTGTATGATGGCTGGTTCTGTTTGTTGTATGTCCTTCCCATTTTCCAGCAGTGTGTGCTGTACAAAGAACAAAACCATTTACAGTGTCACTAAGACAAGGGGAGGCATAGAGAGGACTCAGACTCACATTGTGTAAGAAAATAGGCCATAATTTTTGGCATGTGAAATAAATAACACCTGGCGGCTCAAAGAGACCCTCTCTTTCTTCGTGATGTGAGAGAAACTGTAATCATGTTCCTGGGCCAGATCCTAGTGTGATGCAACCTTGTGTCACTCCACCCATGTGAAAGCTAAACTAAAGCTAACAGAAATGGACCCCTGAGGGGCTTCCCTGCAAAGGGGGCTCCTCAGGTAACACCGAGACAGTGTAGCAGTTCCCATGCCACCCTTCTCCTTCCCTGTGACTGGCAAGCCCCAAAATGGCTGAAAGCATTCATCCCCTCTTTAGCTTCACAGGCTCTCCTGGGTTAGAGCTGATGACCTGACCTTCCAAGCTGTTGACTCAAGTACCCTCCTCCCTTAGCAGGGTAAAGCCAAAAACAAGATGCTATTGGGACCTAATGTCATCTTGTGAATGTGTTCTTACCTGCATATCAGTACAGATGTTAAGGGCCTTATTCTGCTCTCACTTACCCTGGGGTAAATCAGGAGTAACTCCACTGACATCAGCAGAATTCCACCTATGTAAAATTGATCAGACTTGGGGTGGGTGGGGCTTAATTACAGAACACAATGAAGTGAAGGGACTATTGTATGTCATTTTATATTCAGATGTATTCTTTATTCTACAGGTTGGGTGACTGGTAATGGAAAAGGCCTCATCTACCTCACAGACCCCCAGATTCATTCTCTTAATGGGAAAGATGTTTCACACTCCACCAACTTTGGAGAGAAAGGAATTTATTATTTCTTCAATAATCAACACGTGGAGTGCAATGAAATCTGCCATCATCTTTCTTTAACGAGGCCTTCGGTAGCAGAACCTAACTAGCTTTGTGCAAAGACAGCCTGACAGGTGCTGACACGGGACCTGATCCCTCACACATTTATATACATTAATAACTCTGCTTGTTAGAGCAGAGCCATAGAAGTAAAATTACTTCTATTCCTAAGTGTTGGAAGGATCTGGGTCATTGTTCCAGGTTGGTAACACCACGTTACTGAATACAGCTTGTTGTGGAAATTAACAAAACCACATAAAAGTATATTCAAGGAACATCAAGGGTATAACAAACCCACAAGAGCCAGCAATATTGTGAGCTCACACTAGAACTTTGTCCTTATAATGATCAGTCTCATCTAGAAATCACAGCACCAGAAGGAGATACGATGGTACAACCTTTACTCAGGGCTTGACTTCAGTGTGGGTTTTGGCTGAGAAAGGACAGTGGGATTTGTAACCCCTGCTGCTATTAGGAGATACTATCCTAAGGAAGAGGGTGTAGTCAGGATCTGGTATAGTTATTTCAGGTATTTGGGTTTACTTGTATTTATGATTTTCAGAGACTTTTTTCAGTGTTGACATGCTGTGTTACTAAAACAAAAAGTGATAAAAACTTAGCTTCTTTTTTTCAGACCTGAGTGTGTAATTTCTTGCTTACATTGTAAAATGGCAGTTTTAACTGTGCTAGCCACAGAGCAAACCTTGCAGCCCTTATACAGGCAAAACTGCTGTTGAAGCCAAAGGAAGCCGTGCCTGAGGACAGATGGATGGACTTGCTCACAGCTGTGTTTAATGTGCCCACAGGACACTTTCCTATCAGCCTGGCAGTTCTCTCTTAAAAACAAAACAAAACTCCCACTGATGTCTCTAATGGAACTCTGGCTGCCACAAATCTAAAGGCCAGTCTTGCAACCCGTATTCATACAAGTAGTCCCGCTGAAGTGAAGGGAGCTATTTGCCTTTAACAAGTATACTCAAGTACAGTTATAAACTAAGGGACTGTCTATGCAGAGAATTAGTGTGTAGTAAGCTGGAATGTACATCTGCGATGCACCAGCCGACCGTGCACTAACTGATTGCGTAGATCCTGCAGTCGTTGCTGTGAAACTTGTACTGAACTTGTAGCATGTGGTAGTAGGATCCACGCAGTCAGTTAGTGAAAGGTAGGCTAGTTGAACTGTAGATTTACTCCTCAGGTTGCTGCATACTAACTCTCCATAGAGACAAGCCATAAGTAATGGCAAGTTGGTCTGTAAGAACATTGTTTTTGCTTTTTTTGGCTGTCGACTGGATGTGGGTAGGTTTAGGGCATTCCCTGCTGCCCTACACATGTGGAGGAACATTCTGATCTGACTTACACTAGCTTTATGTGGTGTAACTGCTCCCGAGAGGCGGTGGTGGAGGAAGGTGGAACCTTGGCTGAGCTGGCACAGGGGGATGTGATTTGCTGCTGGTACCAAGGAGGACCCAGGAGAAATTGTTTGTTTCTCTGAGGGGTGTCTCTGGCTAGGTCTACACTATGAGCTAGGGATGTGATTCCATGTCCACGCGGATGTACTCATGCTAGCTCTCATCTGAGCTGCCGTGTTAATCAGAGGGAGTTGGCCGCAAAAGCACAGACAGCAGCAGCACACGCGAGCAGCCCCAAATACGTACCCACAGGGTTCAGGTGGTTTGTACTTAGGGCAGCTAGCACCGCGGTGCTGCCTATGCTCTTCATAGAATCACAGAGCCATAGGGATAGACAGGACCGCAAGGGCCAACTAGTCTAACCCCCTGCCAGGATGCAGGACTTGGGTCTAAATCATCCAAGACTCATGGCTATCCAGCCTCTTCTTGAAAACCTCCAGGGAAGGAGCTTCCACAACTTCCCGAAGCAGTTTGTTCCATTGTCCTATTGTTGTTGCAGTTAGGAAGTTTTTCCTGAGATCTTATCTAAATCTGCTATGTTGTAGTTTGAACCCATTGTCTCTTGCCCTGCCCTTTCTGGCTAGAGAGAACAATTTTTCTCCATCTTTTTATGGCAGCCTTTCAAGTATTTGAAGACTGCTATCATGTCCCCCACCCCTTAATCTCCACTTTTCCAAACTAAACTTACCCAGTTCCTTCAGCCTTTGCTCATATGGCTGGCATTCCATCCCTTTGATCATCTTCGTTGCTCACCTATGGATCCTTCCCAGTTTCTCTACATCCTTTCTATACAGTGGTGACCAAAATTGGACACAGGACTCTAGATGAGGCCTAACCAGCACTGAGTAGAGCAGTACTATCACCTCATACAATGCCTCTGTTAATGCAGCCCAAAATTGCATTTGCTTTTTTGGCAACAGCATTTCATTGTTGACTCATGTTGAGGTTGTGATCCATCACGACTTCCAGATCCTTCTCAGCAGTGCCGCTGTCAAGCTAGTTATCCCCCATTCTGTATTTGTGCATTTGTTTTTTCTTCCCTAAGTGTAGCACCTTACCTTTTGTCTTTGTTGAATTTTGTTGAAATGTTGAATTTATCTTTGTTGGAAGCGTTGTGGCTACACTACTGTTCTTAGTGTCCTAACTCAGATGAGAGCTAGCACTCCTATGGATATGTGAGCTGGGAATCACGCCCCCTAGCGCATAGCGTCAACATAGCCACAGAATAACAATGTCTCCTGGGGACTGCAGCTTACACAATTTTCAGGGCAGTGCCTAAAGTCACATTCTATACCCATGTGCTCATCTAGCATGAACTTATTCTCTGACACTTTGCACTCTTTTGTCACTGATGGTGTAAGAGCCTGTCATCTGTAGCTCATGTCATCTGGAAGTGCCTTCCTGTACATCACAAGCCCACGAAAGCGTATGCTCAAATAAATTTGTTAGTCTCTAAGGTGCCACAAGTACGCCTGTTCTTTCTACTTAACTCCTAGCTGTTTTCAAATCCACCCTGAAAGGATCTCTTTTCTCCCTTGGTCTACATCTGTAACTTCCCTTTTTCTTCTGTTTTCATTTCTAACATGTCTCTTGATTTAACTCTATAAAGAATGAGGATGCCAAACTCCCTACTTGCTCAATGTATCTATGCAGCCCATGATATATTAGGATTTCTGCAGAATATAAGAATATCATATAAATATTAAGTTTCTGCTCCTCATGGTTGTGAAAATAAACTTTCCAATGTACAGTGACCCTGTGCACTAGCCTAGATAAACCTGAAACACCAACTCAAAGAAAGTTGTGAACGGTCCTAATTCCGAGCAGTATGATGTTAACTCTGAACTGTAATGATGCTGGAAGAAACACATTTGTGGATAACTAAGGCTTGCTATTGCACACATTATTTGCACATATGTTTTCTGCAGTCATGCATGCAAATTAGATAATTCCATGTACAAATGATTAAATAAACAAATGGCAGACACAGGGACAGTCCTAAAAGTATCCTGCAGAATTTTCCCACTGACTGATGCTGAATGCACTAGCAATTTTACTAGCTACGTGTTTGATCCATCTCCAATTAATGCCAATGGAAAAATTTGCGTGGACTCCAAAGACTTGTCATAGCCTCTGAAAGTTTAATTATGACATGGTCATATTCTTGTTCATCCTTTGTACAATCATTATCATCAGCGGGAGCTCTGTTGTTGACTCAGGATCGATTCCTGTCCCTGATTTTGTGACCCTGACTCACAGACCATTATATAAAACTGTAATTCTCCACCGAATGGGTTTGATGCCTTTCATTTTGGGGTTTCTTCAGTCAACATAAATTATGCGACTGAAGCAGAAATGTCTGGTGATATTCTAGGGTTCAGGAGATGTAATTTCACACTAACTCCCTCAACAGCCAGTGTCGCTTACCCTGCTGTTCTGCCCCCTGAAAATACTTAATTTAATTCAAGCCACAATCCAAGGACATTTCTTGGAGCTTTTACATGTTTGCTGGGTGTGCTGGGGACATGTTTTAGTATTGCATGTACATGCAGCTGCTGCTTTGAACATTTCCTCTATTTCATTCATTTTTATCTGCACTTTTGTTATTGTTCATGGTTCTCTAGTATACTCCAAGAATCCCTGATTTTTAACACTCCGCAGTCTTTGAATGTCCTGTGGTATGTGTGCTGTCCGCAGGCTTCAATAGTGCTTACCCTGGGTAGAGGCAGCTGCCGCTTTTTACTTTTTATGAAACAATCTTTTGTTTTTTTTAGACCAAAGCTTGTAATTCATGGACATGACCTTCTTGGACTTTTGTGAGTTACCACCTGGAGAATTGGAAAGTAGCAAATGCAGTTATGTCATTCCCTTCTCAGAAACTCACTGGGGATGTATTCAAGGGGCAGAGAATGTCAGGCTTTATCTGCATTAGATTTCTTGTAGGGCTTCTCTTCACTGCAACAGATAGCTCGAGTTAGTACACTCAAGTTCCTGCACTCGAGCTAGCCTTCAGAACAGCACGGGAGTTACACGGAGTGGTTGGATTAGCAGCAGAGACTGATGAGTTGTAACTCGAGCTGTTATATCCCCACTGTGTGTCTAGCGGCAGCATCACTGGAGCTTCAACACACCCTCCTTAAGGGTATGTCTCCACTGCTCCTGGGTCGGGAGGGTGATTTCCAGGCCAGGCAGCCAGACTCAGACTAGCTCCGCTTGAGCCAGTGTGCTAAAAATAGCAGTGTGGATGTTCCAGCACGGCCTAGCTGTCAGAGTCCAAGCCTGCCCAACCCCCTGGGTCTGAGCTTGGGTGGTTAGTCCAAGCCACTGCCTGTGCCTCATTTTTTGCATCATAGCTCAAGCTGAGCTAACATGAGTCTGTCTACCCTTGCTAGGTATTGCATCCCCCAAGCTGTGGTGTAGACATTACCTGACAGGGCAGCTGGCTTGAGTTTAAAGCACACTTTAGCTAGAGATTTTTGTGTGGGGGCAGGAATTGATTTAGTATTAACACTCTGATTATAGGTTGAGCTAACTGTGCAGTGAAGCCTCACGCTTAGTGCTACTTTGCTGGTGATGTGATTGACCTCGTAGAAAGCGCTGAAAGCCTCTGTCTGTGAAATAGCCAGACAAACTAGGTTCAGATGCATTCAGATCATTGTCCAAACTTTTTTTTGAGCTGTATGGTCTAGTGGTGGCAATGCAGGATTCAGACACGCTTGAGTTTTATTCCTGGTTCTTCCACTGACTTGCTGTATGGCCTTACTCAAGTTAATTAACCTCACTGCTGCTCTGTTTCTCCATCTGCATAATGAATACCTACCACACAGGTTTGGTGAGGATTAATTTGTTACTGTTCGTATAGCACTTTGAAGATGCCACTGCAATGTCTAGTAAGTGCTAAGTATTATCTAAACTGTACCTGGGAAGCAGCTAAAGGCTTTGATCTTGCATATGGTTCCATGCAGTTCAACCCTGTCTCCATGTGTCACCTCATCAATTTCAGTGGGGTTCTGTGTAGGTTTGGGGGAGGTCCACCCAGGGGGAACAACCTCTTGAATGGGGGGCAATATTTGTCACTTCTCAGGGAGCTGCCCCACCAGCTAAAATAGAACACCTCTGACTTTGCAAAGAGTGTGCCCCCTTGTGTTTTGTAACTACGTTTGATTTTCCTGCTAAATATTTAGTTCAAGACTTCCTTTAGCTAAAATACAATTTTTTACAAGCCAAAATAGGTCTTAAAGTTCCAATATCCTGTCCCAGAAAAGCATCTGGTTGATATTGTTTAGGGTATTTTTTTTCCCTCATCTTGAGGGGGAAGGAAACTGGGTACTAAAGTTCCATAAAAATATCGGACCCCCAGTACAAAGTTAGGCTTAACAAAACCATCAGCTTTTGTTTCTCCAGCCAGCAGAGAGTTCAGGCTTTTTGTTACTGTTGTTTAGTTCTGCTATTGTTTTCAAGGTGTTGTTTGTACTGAGTTGTTTGGATATACAGATACCCTATAATTGCACAGAGCAGGGGAAACTAGTTGTAAGGAGTGGGAAGTAAGAGAAAAAAATTAAATCTCTTTATTATGGTGCATAAACCTTCAGTGTTGGGGAGCTGTGCAGCTGCGCAGGGAAAAAATGCATTCAGAAATATAATGCTAGTGTGAATAATCCTTTCTAGAATGCTGTTTGCAGACTGCTCCAGCTTTGTCAGGTGAACTTGAACTGGGCCATCAGATTTGCTCTCATTCCCACTGCACACTGTCTATCACCCCAGGGCATTCACCGTCTTGCCTGTTGTTAAAAAAGAGCAAACAATCCATCATTGAGCCTGGGAGTCACTTTCTCATAGAAAAGTAAAATCGGCATGTGACAGTACACTCAGCTCCAATGTTTCGCAGATTAAAATGATACATGAAAACTCACGTGTTACGGGGAAGATTAAGTCAGTTATCTTGTACCACAGCCAATAAAGAAGAGGATTGTCTGCAACAGTAAAATGCTGGTTAACCTAGTGACAAAAATTGTGTGCACATGGGTTAGTGCTTCTGGAAAATACAGCTACAGAATTTAAAGGAAAAAAAGGTAGTAAGGTTTCAGGAATTAATAGGCTGCAAAAATGTTACATTAAAGCTTTTTTGCAGAACTCTATAGGGTGTTTTTAAAATTTTCTCAAATTAGTTGAAGGGTCCTAATAAATTATAAGCAACTAACACTGCCATGCCGAGTAACTATTAGCACTAATAACACTTTTAATAATTAAAGCTGACAGCATTTTAAATGGCTAATTTACTATTTATATTGTTTGTTTTACTTTTTGATTTCACTCTGGTAGACAGTGAAATTAAACTGATCATTTTCACTATTTTTAGTCAGTTTCACTTTTGGTTATCATGCATGAGAACAAGGGTATTGTTTTCTTTCACAATCTATCCATCTTACATAATTATATGCCCCCCCCCATTAGATTAGTATCGGAGTGCCTGACAGTCTTTAATGTATTTATCCTCAAAATACCCCATGATGTCAGCAAGTATAAATATCCCTGTGGGTAATTGTCTGCAGTGATTCTCCCAAGGACTTCCGGAGGAAGCCTGTGATGGAGCAAGGAATTGCACCGTAACCATTTACCCACCTTTCCGTTCTGAGGGGCTGTTACAGAGAAACCAAAAAAAAAAAAAATTAAAAAACCTTTTCATTTACATTTTTACAAAATGATTTTTTCTATTTATGAGATTTATTGAAAAAACTTTTTTCTTAACAAAAATCTAAATTTTAAGTCTTAAGCAAGTTGGCAGTATCTCTTTATTCTAACAAATTACAGACCCTTATTATACCTGTATTTTTTCACCGTAAAAAGGCCCAAATATGCAAGTGTTTGTCATAAATCCTTAGGAAAATAAATGTGTATGACACCATTTTGCTGAGTTTTCCCAGTGCGCTATAAAAGATGGAATGCACACCAGATCATTACAGAAGGTTGTATTTTCATGTGTGTCTCTCTGTTGATTCCAACAGGCTTTGGATCAGGCCCTTTAACTGGGTCCCCAGTCTCTTCTGAGATGCTGTGTAACGTAAACCACAGAAGGCCAGAGTCTGATCCTATTAACAACACTGAATAGCTCATCGCTCCATGCGTAACCCCAATGACTTCAGTGTTATTGCTCTGAGGAGTAGAATACTGAGATGCTATGTGCTGTGAGGAAGGAATCAGAACCTGGCCCAAAAGGAGATGATCTAACATTTTAATATCCATTTTTTAACAGTTTTATCTGGTGAGTGAGGCCAAAACCAAAGTTTGGTAATTTTCTTCCTGTGCTTCCCTGGTTGTTCAAAAATAGGCTTTCTCTGTGCCCTGGTTAGCTCTGAGTGGGTTTCTGGCTTATGGTTGCCTTTGAGTTAGCAACAAACCAGACTGACTCAGCTCACAGTGAGCTAGCTTTAAGAAGGATAGCCTCAGCAGCGTGCT